TTATAATTATCTATTTCTGATTTAATTAGGAGTTTTTGGTCCTTTTTTTTTTTTTGATACAGGGGACTCCTTAAGTTGCCCAAGTTTGTCTCCAATTCCAGGTGCTCAGGAGATCCTCTCACCTCTGCCTCTCCAGTAGCTGAGATTACAGGCGGGGGCTGCCATGTGTGGCATTATATCTAGCTTTAAGTTCCTGTCTCCCCTCGATTTTCCCTACCTCAACTTGTCCTCCCTCCAATAACCTCAATTTAGAAATTCTGAAGCCACGAAGGGGAGACCAGAGAGAGAAAGAAGGAGGGAGGGGTGGGAAAAGGAAGAGCAGAAAGAGGGAAAGAGCAAAGGTGTGGGGTCTTGGTGTGTGCCACACCTTTTGGGTGCAAGACATGATTGTAAGAGGGTCTTTACCTAACAAATAAACCAAGTAACCTGGTTTCTTGTACCCTCAATGAATCCCCAATAATAAAAAAAAAAAAAAAAAAAAGAATTTCTGCAATTATAAAGTCAATAATTGGCTCAGGGACCATAGCTCAGTGGTTAGGTCTGGCAGGTTCAAACCAGGCCAAGACCTGCTAAACAAAAATGACAACAACAAAAATAGTGGCGCGTTGTGGTAGGCACCTGTAATTCCAACTACTTGGGAGGCTGAGGCAAGAGAATCGCTTAAGCCCAAGAGTTGGAAGTTGCTGTGAGATGTGATCCAATGGCACTCTACCAAGGGTGACACAGTGAGACTCTGTGTCAAAAATAATAAATAAATAAAATAAACAATAAAAAAGTCAATAATTGTGTTTACTAAGACTTTTAAGAAAGCTACAGCTGGGCACAGTTGTGTGTGCATGTAGTCCCAGCTACTCAGGAGGCTAAGAAGGATCACTTGAGACCAGGAGTTCCTATCAAGCCTGAGCAACACAAGCAAGACCCCATCTCATTTTAAAAAAAGAAAGAAGAAAGGGCGGCACCTGTGCCTCAAATGGGTAAGGCGCCGGCCCCAATATACAGAGGGTTGCGGAGTCAAACCCAGCCCCGCCCAACTGCAAAAAAAAAAAATAGCCGGGCGTTGTGGCAGGCGCCTGTGGTCCCAGCTACTCGAGAGTCTGAGGCAAGAGAATCGCCTAAGTTCAGGAGTTGGAGGTTGCTGTGAGCTGTGTGACACCACGGCACTCTACCGGAGGCGATAAAGTGAGATTCTGTCTCTACAAAAACAAAGGAAAGAAAGAAAAGAAAGAAGAAGAAAAAGAGAAGGAAAATGGGAGAAGGAGGAGAGGAGGGAGGGAATTAAGAAAGCTTGTGAACTGTGGAAATAGAAAATTATAAAATAGTGGAAGGTGAGTGACTGCTAATGGATACAAGATTTATTTAGGGGGTTCTAAAGTTAGGTAGTGGTGATAGTTTCACAACTCTGTGAATATATTGAGAATACTGGATTATACACGTTAACTGGGTGAAGTTTATGATATGCATATTACATCTCAGGAAGGAAGGGAGAGGAGAGAAAGCAAGCTAGCCTGTGAAATTAAGAAGCATCACAAATGATGGGGGGAGGGGAGAAAGAAATTCTGAAGCCGCCAATTGTGTGCCTACAATACAGACTCTGGCTGCTGCCCTGCGAGGTTGGTATTAATTGTCCCATTTTTCCAAGGAGGAAACTAAGGTTCAGAGAGGACGAGTGCCAGATCTGTCCGGATTTAAAAGCCGCTTTCCTTTCACTCCACCAGCGCAGGGGACTGGGCGAGGTAGCGCCTCGCCGGCAGGGAGTCCGCAGCTCAGGCTTGGCCCAGACCCGCCCGGCTACAGGGGATTGAGCAGACAGCAAACTCCAGCTCCCAGGGAGACGCGACTTCTGATGTAGGGGCAGAAAAATTGGGTGGGGCTTCCCACCGACTGAGAGGTCCTAGTGGGCGTGACCATAGCATAGGCGTGGCCTCCTTCCCCGCCTCCTTTCCGTGGGCTCAAAGGGGACGGTGGCCGCGGGGCGGGGTCAGAACACGGGCGGCAGATCCCAGCTCGGCTACTTGGAGTTTGCGGCTGAGCAGCTCCCCGGCGGGGCCGAGCAGGTACTGACCACCATACGGGGTATCTTGGGCTGGGCCAGGTGGGGGCCCGGGGCCCACAGAGGACCACAAAGGGCATTGGGATTCGTGGCCAGTGCTGTGTTTCCTCCCGCGGGCCGAGCCCAGGCCCGGGCCCCTGCCTCCGCCCCCGCCTTCCTGCTGCGAAGCCGGCTGCGGCGGGGCCGATTGGCGCCTGCGCCGCTTCCTGGGGCCGGGACTGGCCAATGCATGGGGCCTGGGCGGAGGACGAGGGGGAAACTGAGTCACATCGATGTGGAGCGGTCCTGTGTGGGATGCACCACCCCCACTGGGCTTCAGGATGGAGCCTCTTCCTGGCCACGCTTTAGGGTGCCGGCCCCACTGATCTCAGGGGCCTCACCCCACTCCCACTTCCTCCTCCTTCAGCACCCTGGGGTCCCACCCTGGCTCCCAGCAACCTAAACTGGTCCAGGTATGGCTAGGACTGGCTCCAGCCGCCTCCCTTCCCACTCCTCTCCGCCCCTCCCCCTCGCCTCTCTAGCCCCTGTGTGCTCCCTACGCTGGCTCTCCGCACAGTGTCAGCTTACACGCCTTATATAGTCCGAGCAGGCTCCAGCCGCGGCCTGCCTGCGGGGACCTGGGGGCGGGGAAGAGGAGAACCGGCCCCTGACTCACCCCGCCGCCCAAAGCTCCAAGCTGGCTTGAGGGAAGGCCATGAGAAATTAGTCCCGTGGCGCTGGATGAAAACAGACCCAAGCCTTGAGGGCCGGCACCCCTTACCGCCCCAGTCCCTGGGGGAGCCTGCTCCTGTCTTTCCAAAGTAAGGTCTGCCAGCCCAAAGCCCAGCCAAAGCTGACAACATGCCTGCTTACTTGTGTCTTTGGGTGTGCTCCGCATCTACCAGTGCCTGCTTGGCACCTGTTCAGGGCTAGGGTCCAGTGCTGGGCTTGCATCCCCACCATCCCTACTGTTCACCTTTTCTTCTCTCCTCAGGAACTGGCACCATGGATTCCTTCAAGGTAGTGCTGGAGGGGCCAGCACCTTGGGGCTTCCGGCTACAAGGGGGCAAGGACTTCAATGTGCCCCTCTCCATATCCCGGGTGAGCCCAGGTGGGGGAGGGGCACTCTCATAGGTCTTCCTGCTGGCATGTCCAGTGGGTGAGGCATCTGAACAGGAGCGAGTCAGAGATGTGGTGCATACCTGTTGCAAGGACTATGTGGATCCTGGGAGAGGAGCCCTCAAGCTTCTCTAGCACTGCACTATACCTATGCCATTCCAAGCACCTATGGCCACCTCTGAGGGCCAGGTGAGAGGGCCAGTGAGCATTCTGCATGATGGGAACCCAAGCTTTCCAGAAAATGTCTAAGCTTGAGAGAGCAATGCTTGGAGCCAGGCAGAGCACTCCAGGAATAACAATCTTCATCTTGTTTATCCAGGTGAGGGAACTTGGAGCTACAGAGAGGTGGAGAGACTAATTCAGTGGGATTTGGTTTTAGGCACAGGATGGCCTGCACTTTTTGTGGGTAGGAGAAGGAGGTCTCTCCCCAGCCTTATGTGAGGACCTGCATCCTCACCCACATTTAAGAAATGGTGGCTGTTGGCCCCAAGCAGAAGTTGGAAGAGGGTTCAGTTCTAGGGCCCTAACTTCAGCTCCTAAAAGCCTGCCCTGGTTGGGGCGGGGCTGAGGGCTGGCCCCTCCCTTTAGCAGGGGGATTGCCTTATAAGCCCAAGAATGCAGCCCCATGCTGGGATAGTCAACAGTGGCTAGCCTAAAAGGACTGGCCTAGGCCAGGTCCCCTGTACCCATCAGTGAGCCCCCCAGCTGGTCACCAGACTGCAGCTCCAGCTGTAGGGTCCATTTGTGGGACATAGAGCAAACTGCCTTCCCAGAGTGAGTGAGACCAGCCCTGGGGCTGCTATCTCTGACTGTGGCCTAGGGATCAGCTGGGGGTAGGGATTTCCTGCCTCTATATCTGCCTACCCACAGAGACCCACCCAGGCACCCAGTGGGCAGGCAGCTGTTGGCAGGAAGCCCAGAGCAAGCACAGCCTGAAGTGGGCTGGAGGATTGTCCAGGCACTGCCCAGCCTAAGAGGGGCCTCAAGGCAGTCTGTCTGTGGGAGTTGGGCTCAGTGGCTCAGGCAGGCAGGCAGTCAGTTCTCAAGGATCCTTCCATGGGGTTCTTCTGGAACCTGCCCTACTAGCAGGATAGTAAGGGCAGTGTTCTCTCTACCACAACCACACCCCCAGCCCCCTACACAATTCTCAAGCCTTGTCAACCCTGAAAACCTACCTTACATCCCCTGCCCTGCGCAGGTACGGCCAGTGTGGCTGGGGAGCCATAGGCCTTGGCTAGTTTGGGCCTCCGTTTCTTCATTGATTAGAATGACTTTTTAGATGTGGCCTGTTGGGGGCACTCTGGGCCCAGGCGCCCATGTTAGCAGCCCCAGCATGTGAGTGGAGGCACCATCTGAGCCCAGCCCTACAGTTGGACCTAGGTCTGGGTGGAGTGGTCTTTTCAGAGCTTCAGAGCTAGGCTGGCCCTCTCCCCATCCCCTGGCCCTAGAAGGGAAGGAGGAAGGGAGGAGGGAAGGGATGGGACTGGCTATAGGCCTGGGCCTGAGAGATGAGGTAATGTCTGAGCCTGGGGGGTTGGGCTGCTCAGGCTGACTCACCTCCACCCCATGCAATGTCCAGCCCCATGGCTTTTCCTCTCCTTGGGCTTTCTGATCTCACCCTGCCCCTAGCCTGCACACCTCCCTGCTTCTCTCTCCAGCCACCACCCACCCCCCTCACCAAGGCTCCTGCTTTATTTTCCACTGCTGTGACCACTCCCCTCACCCTGACTGCTTCCTGCCATCCTCTCTCCAACGAAGGAAGTAGTCTCTCCCACCCCTTCTAAGAGTCAGCTGCTTCTGTCCACCCCAAGACCCCTACCTCAGGCTCAGTCCACACCTCCCAGGAGCCAGCCCGTGTGGGTAAGGAGTGGCTGGACCAGGTTTCCCTTCTACTGACTCACCGTGGCCTTGAGTAAGTTACTTCCCCTTGAGGATGTCACTTCCCCATGCCCACTAGAAGGGGCTGGATTGAACTTAAGGTAAGAAAGGAGATCCTGGCCCCAAACCCAGCCAGGGGATCAGGGAGTCTTTCTAGTTGGGCTGACTCCTCACTTGGGGCCTCATGCTCAGCCACAGAGGTAGAGAGGGGTTGAGCCTCAGGGTCAGGGTCAAATCCTGCCTCTGTCTCTTACTGTCTCAGTAACTTGAGGTAAGTTGCTTAACCTCTCTGTGTGTTTTCCCAAGTGTAAAATGAGTATAATCCCAGACTACTCCCCAGCATTGTTGGAGGATTCAGTGGCAGTGCTAAGTACTCACTAAATATAAGCTGTCATTCTCACTATACTAATAAATATTAGTGTTTAGTGAGTGAAGAGGGGCTACCCAGCTGTCTTACACTTCCAGCCTCCCATGCAAGCATGAAACAGTCATCAAATTCAGCTTCCCTTCTTGTCCCAGTGCTGTGCCCTCTGACATCTCTCTGGTACCTCTCACCTCCCCTCTTCCTGCCTTTGCTCAGTCTGTATACTGGCCTACCTAAGGAGCCTCTTGGGCAGAAGCCTGCTCAATGTAATGGCAGGCACCTTACTAGATGGCTGGGTGGTTCCCTAGGCTCAGACACAGATAGCCACTTCTGCCTGTTTTGACAGGGATAGACTAGAGGACCTGAAGGGCCCAGTGAAGTTTGTTAGGGTCACCTCTATCAAGAGCCTTAAAACTGTGAACGGCCCCTGTATTCTTTTTTTTTTTTTTTTTTTTTTGAGACAGAGCCTCAAGCTATCCCCCTGGGTAGAGTGCCATGGCATCACAGCTCACAGTAACCCCAACTCCTGGGTTCAAGCGAGTCTCCTGCCTCAGCCTGCCAAGTAGCTGGGACCACAGGTGCCCGCCACAATGCCCAGCTATTTTTTGGTTGCAGCCATCATTGTTATTTGGCAGGCCTGGGGTGGATTCAAACCCTCCACCTTAGGTGTATGTGGCTGGCGCCCTAGCCACTTGAGCCACAGGCGCCGAGCCGGCCCCTGTATTCTCAAGGCCAAGTCCTGGTCCCTTCCCCTGGCATTCAAAGCCATCATGAATGGACTACCTACCCCTAGGCAGCACACCTCTTTCTCTTTTGCCAAGGTCCACTGTCTTTCGAGAAGTCATCCCTGTTGGTCTCAACTAATGCTGGTGGTGACCATTCCTCCCAGCCTACTATTTCCCTTCATTTCCCATAGAACCAAAAATTCCCAATTCAGGGCCTGGAGGATGGGGGCCAAGGGAGTGAAACTGCAATTGAAGCCTTAGGGTGACACCCATTTACAACCTGTGAAACCCCAGCTGACACCTTAGGCCCCATTCAGGCATTGTTCACAGGGAACCTGGAGATGACATGGCCTATTTCTGGCTAGAAAAGGGTCCTGGCCAATCCCTACAGGTGGTCTGAGGACAGGGTGGTGAGAGCACCCAGCAGTGTCAGGAGGACACAGCTACTTGCACAGGCCAGAGGGCATATTTGGTAGATGGATGGCCTAAAGCATGAGGCCAGCAGGAGCCTCAAAAGGCTGTGGTCTTAGCTGAGAAGCTTGGGGTTCAGCCTGGGTTCCTGTTTGTTGATGAATAACAATTTCTGGACAGTAGGGAGGCTCGTGGAAGTGAGTATATAAAAAGCAGTATGATTGGGGTAATTGTGAGGCTCAGGTGAGCACCACCTTCTAGGTAGCTTTAGTATCTAGCAGCTGCCTAGAAATACCTTGAATGAACAGGTCTCTCAGTTTGTGGAAGTGGAACAGCTTAGGGTAGGACAGGGTTGACTACCCTTGGCCTCAGTCTGGTCTGCTGAGTTCTGGGCCTTCCTGGCTCTTCATCTCTCCATAGCTCACTCCTGGAGGCAAAGCTGCACAGGCTGGTGTGGCAGTGGGCGACTGGGTGCTGAGCATAGATGGTGAGAACGCAGGCAGCCTCACACACATCGAAGCCCAGAACAAGATCCGTGCCTGCGGGGAGCGCCTCAGCCTGGGGCTCAGCAGGTGTGTGGTTGCTGCTTGGTGTGTGGGGATCTTCTCAGGCCAGGCCTGCCATCATGCTTTTGCTTCTTCCCTAGGGCTCAGCCAGTTCAGAGCAAACCGCAGAAGGTACGCAGCAGGCTGGGACACCTGGGCAGTGGGTTGGGTGGGCTCGGAGGCAAGGGCTAACTTGCCTTCCCTGGCACAGCCTTGGTGCTCCTGTCGCTGGCTGTAAATAGAGGGGAGAGGCTGGGGCTGGAGCTGGGGAGGGTCCAGGGAACATGGGGTTGAGCTGGGGGCTGCCGCACGGTCCAGGTACCACGCATGTCTGCCTGTCTATCCTCCCGCCTGCCTCCCTCTGGCCTGCCTGTGCTGCTAGCCCATCCGCACTCCGTCCTCAGCCCTGCAGCCCTACATGGGCTGAGAACATTACTTCCAAATGGGCCCCTTGAAACCCGAGTCTCCCTCTCCCCATCACCTCCAGCCAGATGTGTGGGAGCAGACTGGAGCCGCCCTGTCCTCTGGGGGGTGCCCCGCTCCCAACCCAGACCCCACCCTACCCGTCCTGCCTGGCTCTGTCTCTGCCCAGGCCCTGGCCCCTGCCGCGGACCCTCCGCGGTACACCTTTGCACCCACTGCCTCCCTCAACAAGACGGCCCGGCCCTTTGGGGCGCCCCTGCCCGCTGACAGCGCCCCGCAGCAGAATGGGTACGTCGGCTCCACCTGCCCACACTACCCCAGGCCAGCCCCTCACTCGCTGTCTGCTGCTGCTCAGTGCGCTGCGTCCTGCCCTGGGGAACCGTGCGGCCGCGACTCCTGGTGGCCGGGGCGGGGCCGCGGGCGCAGGGCCTCTCCCCAGGGTGTGGCTCCTGCTCGGCACCGCCCTGGGGGGGAGCTCTGAATAAGACAGCGCCCCCGCAGGTGGTCCAAGGTTGGGGTGTGGAGCTTGTGACCGTCAGTGCTGCCTTACATGGCTGCTCTGACCCCTCTCCATCTTTCTTCCTTCCGTTTGTCCTTTTATCTGCCCATCTGTCTACTTCCTTCACAGGTGCAGATCCCTGACAAGTCAGTGAGCCCCTCTGCCTTTCTCTCTCTTCCTTTTGGCACTTTGGGCAGTTCTTCCCCACCCTGGCTGCCCTCTTCTCCACTTTGACTGCCCTCCTGTCCTCCCACCCAGCCACTTTGTGGGCCCTGGTCTAACCCTTCCCCACTCCCTCCCTTCACCATAACCCCCTGCACCAGATCCTGGGAGGGGCTGCCCCCTCGCTGGCCACTCTAGTACCAAGTTCTGAGCACACCCTCCCCACAGACAGCCTCTCCGTTCACTGGTCCCAGATCCCAGCAAGCAACGGCTGATGGAGAACACAGAGGACTGGCGGCCCAGGCCAGGTACAGGCCAGTCTCGTTCCTTCCGCATCCTTGCTCACCTCACTGGCACCGAGTTCAGTAAGTGCTGGCCCAGGGCAGGGTGGACTCTACTGGCCCCAGCCCAAACATTGGCCCTGACCCTCGGTTTCTCTTGGGCAATAACTGACTCTGTCCTCTCAGTGCAAGACCCGGATGAGGAGAACCTGAAGAAATCGAGGTAAAAGGACAGGCACCAGCCCCTCTCTCCCACCTCCAGCCTCTTCCATTTCAGCTACCACCCCAATGTCTGCTCCTGGGGCTTCCCAGCCAGCATTTTCCATTCTCCTTCCTTCCTTCTGTTCTCCCTTTTATTTCTCCTTCTCTCCACTTCCTCCTCCCTCTCTCTGCCCCTCAGGGAAAAGTATGTCCTGGAGCTGCAGAGCCCACGCTACACACGCCTCCGGGACTGGCACCACCAGCGCTCTGCCCACGTGCTCAACGTGCGATCGTAGCCCGTCCCTCTCCGGCCAGCTGCTTTCTCTGCTTCCCTCTTTCTATTCCTCCTGCTCTGGGCACCCCCTTTGGTGCCTCTAGCTTTTGCCTACCTCACCACCCCTCTGCTGCCCCTGGCCTAAGCCTCCTGCTGGCCTGGCCCTGGCAGCCTGCCTGGCAGGGCCCAGCTTTGTCTGCCACTAGCTCCCCTCTCTGCCCTGTGGTCCTGCTGTCTGCCAGGTCTGTGCTGCCTCAGGCATGGAAATAAATATCCTCAGCCCTGTCTGCTCTGCCTCTGTCTTCTCTCTTGGTGGGCCTGGTTTGCATTTTGGGTGTGTGGTGTTTTGATGGTTCAGGCTCAGTGTGGGACCTGCCATTCTGGGTCTCAATGAGAGGATATATTGGCAAAAGGGGCCCTGCCCTGCCATCAAAGCCAGCTCTCTGGCATAAGGAGAGCCCCAAAAGCTGTCCCAGAAGTGGGAATCCTGCTTCACCTCCCAGTTCCAAACAACAGTCCAGCTAGCTGGACATGGCTAGGAGAAGCTGCCCTCCCCTTCCTAGCCAGCAGCTCTCCTGCACCTAGGCATCTCCTGTGGGGCCAACCAGACCCAGGTTGGGGGGAAGGGCCATGTCAGGAACCTCAGCCATGCAAGGGCTTGAATGGCAGATCTTGCAGCCAGGTGCCCAGGACTGAAGCCCCAGCCCCAGCCCCAGCCTCAGCTACGTCCCAGGAGCCATGGCCTGGTGAGAGAGGGTGGGCTTGGACTTGTGGAAGGGTGGGCAGTCTCTATGGATATGGGGGTGGCGGGCTCATCAAAGCTGCTCTGGGCTCCACCCTCTGTCCTTTGGGGTCCCTGGGCCAGCCCCTGAAGCCACTTTTCCTTGGCTCTGGCAGGCCCTACCACCCCTAACCCCACCAGCCGCCCACCCTGGGCTGTGGACCCTGCCTTTGCCGAGCGCTATGCCCCAGACAAAACAAGCACGGTGCTGACCCAGCACAGCCAGCCAGCCACGCCCACACCTCTGCAGAACCGCACCTCCATTGTGCAGGCAGCTGCTGGAGGGGGCACAGGAGGGGGCAGCGGCAGCAATGGCAAGACTCCTGTGTGCCATCAGTGTCACAAGGTCATCCGGTGGGTGGCCCCTTCCTTTCTTACCTTGGACTTGCCTGGCCTATCTGCCCACTTCTCTTGCCTCAGCTGCCACTGGGGGGACAGTAAAGATTCAGTTCCCAGTTGGAGTGTGGGGATAGAGACCTAGCCTGGATCCCAAACTACCCACCCCACCCACATCAACCACTGGCAGCATCTACGTTTATGGAATGGCAGAGAGGACCTATCACACACTGAAGCTACACCTGTGGACCTCTGGCCTTGCTGCTCGGGCAAAGAAGGGCCTATCCCACAGTCCTTCTGCCTCCCCCTCCTGCTCATTCAATCTTTGTTCTCAAAGCAGACAAGCCAGAGGCCCCTCCCTCTATGCACTGCTCCCTGGGACTCAGTAGGGTTACACACAGCTCTGGAATCACTCTACTAAATTCTAGAACCTTCCTAGTTCTCAGCCCTGGTCTGCTTTGTGCTCTCGTCAGGTTTTAGGCAGCAGCTCTGCAAATGATGTCCTTCAAATACCCCAGTTGATCTCAGACCTGCAGACCCCTCCCCAGGCTGGTGGAACTGGCAGGCAGGACACAGTGGGCAACAGAGTCTTCCCTGATGTCCTTGACACTCTGGACCTCCTGCCCTGTGGTGCCAGTTCCTCAGCATTGTCTCCGCAGCTAAAGTTGTCAGCCTCCCCTTTGTCAGTACGCCCTACTCTAAAACTGCCTCTCCTGTCATCAAGCAATACAGTGTGACACAACTGTCTATCTTTTTTTTTTTTTTTTTTTTTTTTGAGACAGAGCCTCAAGCTGTCCCCCTGGGTAGAGTGCCGTGGCATTACAGCTCACAGCAACCTCCAACTCCTGGGCTCAAGCGAGTCTCCTGCCTCCGCCTCCCAAGTAGCTGGGACTACAGGCGCCCGCCACAACGCCCGGCTATTTTTTGGTTGCAGCCGTCATTGTTGTTTGGCGGGTCCGGGCTGGGGATTCGAACCCGCCACCTTAGGTGTACGTGGCTGGCGCCTTAGCCGGTTGAGCTATAGGCGCCGAGCCACAACTGTCTATCTTCAAGCTTTGTCTCTCTCACTGTCATTTACCAAATCACATCCCAAATCTGTCTTCAATCTATTTGGAAAGTGGGGAGAATGAACTTTCTGACCCAAGGCTTCCTAGTCAGTGCTTGGTAGACCCACTTGGGCTCCAGCCAAGCCTCATTTGCAAGTATTCCCTCTGACTGCCCTCACCTCCCCCTCAGGGGCCGCTACCTGGTGGCATTGGGCCATGCTTACCACCCCGAGGAGTTCGTGTGTAACCAGTGTGGGAAGGTTCTAGAAGAGGGAGGCTTCTTCGAGGAGAAGGGTGCCATCTTCTGTCCCCCCTGCTATGATGTGCGCTACGCACCCAGCTGTGCCAAGTGCAAGAAGAAGATCGCTGGCGTGAGTGGGGCTTGTGGGCGGGTGGGAAGGAGAATCCCACACCTGTCAGCCTGGAGGAGTGTTGAGCAACTTCTGGGCCTGGGGCTCTCCCTGCATGAGCCCTTCACGTCCTTAATAGCCTGATAAATGGGCTGCTAAATTGGTCTCACTTTATATTAGCTAGAGTCCTCTTAACAAGTGGCCGAAGTCCTATTCAAAAGGGCTCAATCTGCGGTGCTTATAGCTCAGGGGGTAGGGCACTGGCCACATACACTGAGGCTGGCATGTTTGAACCTAGCCCGAGTCAGCTAAACAACGACAACTACAACAAAAAAATAGCTGGGCGTTGTAGCGGGTGCCTATAGTCACAGCTACTTAGGAGGCTGAGGCAAGAGAATCGCTTAAACCCAAGAGTTTGAGGTTGCTGTGAACTGGGATGCGATGGCACTCTACTGAGGGTGACATAGTGAGACTCTGTCTCCAAAAAAAAAGGGCTCAATCAAAATAAGAAGTATATTGGCTCAAATGACTATAAAGCCCAAGACATTAACTTCAGGCCCAATTGAATCCAGGTGCTGATGTCATCAGGACTCTGTTGCTTGCCTCACCTATCATCTGTATGGCTTCATTCCCCAGCACGCTTTGCCCTGGACGCTTTGCCCTGGACAGGAGCAAAGATGGTGCTACAATGTCTCCAGGGTAACAAGCTCCCCTTAGTACCACAGACTAAAAGAGTGTACCTTGTGCCAAGTGGTGCATTTAAAGTCCCAGTGTCAGTGTTCCTGGGCCTGGCTTGGGTCACAGGACCATCCCTGAACCAAGTTCCATGACTCTGATTAGCCAGTCCTAGTTTATGCCCAGCCCTGGAGCTGCGGGTAAGAAGGCCCTGTCTGAACCAAAGACTGAGACTGAGAGCTGAATGGTTCCCTATAATAAAACCAGGACATTACTCTTAAGAAGCAAAGGGGCCGCAGTGGCTCACGCCTATAATCCTAGCACTCTTTGAGGCTGAAGCAGGTGGATTGCTTGAGATCAGTTTGAGACCAGCCTGAGCAGGAGGGAGACCCCCATTTCTACAAAATACAGAAAAACTAGTCAGGCATTGTGGCAGGCACCTATAGTCTTATCTACTCAGGAAGCTGAGGCAAGAGAATCTTTTGAGCCCAAGAGTTTGAGGTTGCTGTGAGCTATGATGCCAGGGCATCAGCGTGAGACTCTGTCTCAAAAAAAAAAAAAAAAAAGGGCAGCGCCTGTGGCTCAAAGAAGTAGGGCGCTAGCCCCATAGGCTGGAGGTGGCGGGTTCAAACCCAGCCCCAGCCAAAAACTGCAAAGAGAGAAGAAGAGAAGCGGTAAACAAGCCAAGAGGTGGCTGCTGGAGCCATTGGGATTGCATTTGGCTGCAACAACAGAAAGCCCCATGATAGAGATTTCTTTGTTTGTTTGTTTGTTTTTAGAGTTAGAGTCTCGCTTTATCACCCTCAGTAGAGTGCTGTGGTGTCACAGCTCATAGCAACCTCCAGCTCTTGGGCTTAGGCGATTCTCTTGCCTCAGCCTCCCAAGTAGCTGGGACTACAGGCGCCTACCACAAGGCCTGGCTATTCTTTTGTTGCAGTTTGGCCAGGGCCAGGTTTGAACCCGCCACCCTTGGTACATGGGGCCAGTGACCTACTCACTGAGCCACAGGAACTGCCCCCCCACCCCCTGCTCCATGATAGAGATTTAAACAGAGAGGGTTATTTCAATCATAAAAATTCCAGGGCTGGAACAGTAACACCAGGATGGCTTAGAGGACCAAGGCTTCTCCCACCCTTGTGCTAGAAAATCATGAGCATGTGGACTTTTTTCCCCAACCTTATATCGTCCTTGCCAGATGGCTCCTCAAGTCCAAGGCCTATATTCTTATTCCTGGAAGGAGAAAGAAGGGGCAAATGACATTCTTTTAATGAGGTTTTACCTCTGTATTTTGGAAGAAAATCCGGGAACCAGCTTCCATCTTTATCTCATTGGATGGAACTGTTACCATGTGACTACCTGGGCTGTGAGGGAAACTGGGAAATTCAGATTTTAGCCCTCCAGCCTCAATAATAGAGGAAGACAAAAAAGAAGGGGATTGTCAAAGGTTTTTGAGAGACTAATTCATAGTGTTTGCTGCACCTAATGCATAAGAAAGTGGAGACTCCGGAAGATATAACTTGATGGGCTTTAAGTACACAAGACTATTGAGTGGCAAAGCCATAAATTCAGACTCAAAAACTTGTGACTCGGCTCGGAGCCTGTGGCTCAAGTGGCTAAGGCGCCAGCCACATACACCTAAGGTGGCAGGGTTCAAATCCAGCCCAGGCCGCCAAACAACAATGATAGCTGCAACCAAAAAATAGCCAGGCATTTTGGTGGGCACCTGTGGTCCCAGCTACTTGGGAGGCTGAAGCAGGAGACTCGCTTGAGCCCAGGAGTTGGAGGTTGCTGTGAGCTGTGATGCCACAGCACTCTACCCAGAGGGACAGCTTGAGGCTCTGTCTCAAAAAAAAAATAAAAACTTGTGACTCAAACTCCTATTTTTTCCCTGAAGGATAAACACAGAGAGCATAGCCTGACTAGGTTTCCTGGGGGAAAGCCCTGCCACTCAGTGCTGGGCTTGGGACTTGGGTCAGTGCATTTTAAGAGCTAAGAATAATGACTCGGCACCTGTGGCTCAAGTGGCTAAGGCGCCAGCAACATACACCTAAGGTGGCGGGTTCGAATCCAGCTGGGACCACGGGTGCCCGCCAAACAATGACAGCTGCAGCCAAGTGGCGGGCGCCTGTGGTCCCAGCTACCTGGGAGGCTGAGGCAGGAGACTCACTTGAGCCCAGGAGTTGGAGGGGTTCAAACCCAGCCCCAGCCAAAAACTGCAAAG